GTGTCGAAATACTATCAGAATCCTGTCAAGCGAGCTTCTGAATGTAAACAAAGAACACCCCATCTGGTGACCTAAACTTCAAAGCAGTGCTTCACTTCTAGTGTCGATTGGCCCCTCCTTCCTTTCCTACCTCCATGGGGTGGATGGATGGATGGATGGGTGGATGGATGGATGGATGGACGGACGGAAAATGACGCATATATTAAGTTGGTTAGTTATTACTTGTACGAAGTAAAAAGCAAGTATTGTAATAGCAAAACGTTTCAGACATCAACGAAAATATCCATTTTCACCGCTATCGAATGCAATTTAACGATGTTTTTGCGTGACATCTCTACGTAACGACTCTTTCACCCCCCAAAAAATTATAAAACTGATTTTAAACGAATTCTGAAGAGAATTTTTCGTGGTATCTGTGCGTACGTACGGACGTTCGCATAACTCAAAAAACGAGTAGGCTCAGAACGTTGAAATTTTGTATATAGGACTGCTATAACATGTAATGTGCCCCTCATATTTGCAATTGGCCGCCCCAAAAGTATATAAATATATGTATATATATATATATATATATCCACTCTCTTACTCGGCTCAGTGACCTCAGTTTCTTTATTCTTATATGTTTGTAAATCGCGCCCCTTTTTTGCTTTAAAATGATTGAATTATGTTGTTCTTATCTTCCGATTAAGGTTTTTATGCCTATAGTTAATCTGCATGCACTAGTTGTAGAATAATCAACAATTTAAAAGTTGTTTAAAGTGTGGCTAGCCTAATTATTTTTGCCATGGCGGACACGCTTGTTTCCATTTGAAACTCGGCAGAATAGTGAATTTGTTGCCAATCTAGCGAAACTAAGCTTCGCAGCAACAAAGATAATGCCTTCTTTTATTATTGAGATTTAAGTTATGCTTAATCTGTTCTGGAATGTATTCGACGAAATCGGTGTTTAAGATTTATTTCGTAATTTTTAATATAGATATTTTTAGTTTTTATGTATTTTAGACTTGTAGCGAAGTAAGGACTGAATTAATTGAATGAGAAATACTGAATTGTCTGTGAAAAGCTGTTTCTTTCTTTCTTTTTTTGTTTTGTTTTGTTTTGTTTTGTTTTGTAAAGTTTTTTATACATCTCTTTAGATTTATTATGATATTTGAATAGAACATGTGGCAACGATTAGATAATTCTTCAGATGATATAAATTTAGCGCATTCTGAGTTATAAAATGAATGAAATATAGCGCTGCTAAGGAAATTTAGCTCCAGAGTGCCAATTTTGCGCATTCTCAGTTATAAAATGAATGAAATATAACGCTGTTAATGCAACTTAGTGCCAGAGTGTCACTATGGTAAACAAATATAGTGAATTTTAAAGAGTGCATATATTCTATGGTGGTTTATGCGCTATCGACGAAGTAGATTTTTTTCAATCAATAAGTTTAAATGAAATGCAAGAAAAAAATGCGTATAATTTAATATTCCGTACAAGGAAGTCATGTGGTGTACACATCAGGTTTTTTAAGTATGGGAAAGCACATTGAGGCCATCTGTCTAAGAGGAGGAATTCTTTGTGGAAGAATTTTTTAAAGAAACGCGGCTCATATTCACGTTCTACATGGAAAAAGTCATGAAAATCATGAAGGCAGTTAGTTTGCCTGGGTTAAATTCCTATACAAACTATCAGCATTTATCAATCTTTAAAAGCTCGGCCACTGGTGGAACCGCTTAAATTATTAGCCAGTTTTCTAAATTCTAATTTGCTATTTTATTTGCAAATATTTAAACTATTAGTATATTCTCAGACACAAACAGCAGAGTTTTGCTAGCGCATTAATTTTAAAATACTAAGCCTTAGTGTAGTGAAAACGAACATTCAGTTCGGTTTGTTATTTTCGTATTTACTTGGAATCTAAGCTAAAGATGGAATGATTCTTCATCATTCATCCTGGGAAGATTAAACCGAAGTTTATATTAAGTGATATTAGGCTTATCTTACAAACACTTTCAAAACAAAGCTGCAGCTTTAGTTTGGTTCAGTTGCTGACTTAATTAGCTGAGAATTAATCCAACGATTTTTAGTCTTACGTTATTCAGTTGGAAACCATAATTCCAAATGCGTCGTACTGCACAATAATGCATCCTCTCGCCGGTCAAAACACTTCGCAGAGCCGCTCAGTCCTGAAAATAAGCATGTCTTAATCATCTCGGGTGTTCTCCAAATTTGTCATGTTGCGATTATCTTCGCTTAAAAAAATTTTGTCCTTTGAAATTGTCCTTTGAAATGCTCTTTCAAAGGACAGTTTTTTTATGACATGAAAATAATAAAAGGAATGCGTCATTCTACTCTTACAGCCCTGCCGAAAACAAACCCCTGTAAGCTTTAAATGGAAGTGCTGTTTGTTATCAGTTGTATAAGATTTTAAAGAATTTATGGGTTTTGGCTAGTCTGAATAGATCGTAAAGCTTGTAGCCTTGTTTTAGTATTGTTACGAATTTGGTATTTAAAAAGCTAATGTTAGTTCAATTATAAATTAATTGGTTTTATTTCCCGCGCAGTGCAGCGCGTGACGAATATTAAAAGAAGAAAGCTAAGCCGGAAAATTAAAAATACAAGAGCGCGTGCATTAAATAAATAAATATCTCTTTTTGATTTCGAGAAAGTACTGGAAAATTCTAGCGCGTGATTTTAAAATCTTATAAAAGGAGGAAAACACCTCAGTTTGGAGTAGTTGCTTAGTTTGTTGTTGTTTAGAAAACTGCTGTTGTTGATTGTAGCGAATTCGCGGATTAGCTTTCTTTAGCTGTTTTGAATTACGTTCTATTGGACATTTGAGTAGTTAAAAGATTACTACTGTGAGATATTGTAATACTGCATGATAATTTGAGAAGATTTAAGCATTTTTGTTGTGATAATAATAAATTTTTGTTTATTTTTCATCGGACTTGTGCATTCATTTCGTAACGAACCCGTACGCACGCAACAGTATAGTTATTATGTATAGCAGAAGGATGGGATTTGCCGACATATTTTACGTTACTGAAATTTGTGATTTATCTGAACACAAAATTCAGTTCCACTCCCATTGTTAATCTTCGGTTCGACAGTAATTATAATAGAAAAGTCATATTTAAATATATTGAGAGGAAAAATGAATATTGTTTATTTATCTTCAAATGTTAATGCAAAGCCGCACTTCATACGCGAGCACAACACCCCCTGTCACCACAATGCATATTAAATAACAAGTAATTGACATTAACATCTGATGAACAGATAATTCATTGCAGAGTTTAATTATGAATTTCAATTTTGCATTGTGAATAATGGCGCCAAAGCAGTGATACTCTACATGTGATCGTTTTGCACTGGATGAAGAAAAGCAGATAATTCGCATTTATTTCTGAAAGATAAATTTAAATCCTAGATATCTTAGAGTGAAAGTTCTTAAATTGAGCTATGATTGTACTACTGTGTCTTTTACTGTTAGTAAGGCATAGATACTATCCTGTTAACCTTGTTTTGTTTAATTTAGTCAGGTATGTAGGAAACGGTCGTGCAACTGTGACTGTAATTCAGTTAGATAATGCTCGCAAAGGAGACGTTAACGATGACGAATGCAAGACGTATGGGAATGTGACGATTATTCTTTTTTATTTTTCTTATCATTTTAATTTATGTAAATAAATCGTAGTAAAGTAATAACTCAATGAGTTTTAGTGATGATTATATAGATGTTTATTAGTTATGTTTTCGCTACAAGTAGGTAATGATATTAAAATAAGAACTGATATTTCTTAATCATAAGTTCGAATGAAAGAGTGCGGAAAAATTTTCTACAAATAATTCGAAAGATAGTTTCCGACTATAAGTATATCTTAACCAGTTAAAGGACTCAAAAGTGGTCACTGGGACGAAATAAAGTAAACCGTGGAAGATTTTGGTGCTGAACTAACCTCACAAAACATTTTTCTCTTTTACGATAAAAATGTAAACGCTAACGGAAATGCTGTGCGGAAAAGTTAAACTTTACTCTTTATTAAATAATTTGAATGAATATGAAATAAGTAACCTCTGGTTTCGAAAAATAAAACAAGAAATTGATGGTATCGCAGCGGTTCTGAGAGCCAATCGGATGCTCGTATCACGAAATATGTAGTTGAAATACTAGATCGTAGAGTGAGCTTTTATAATGATGGTAAGATGCTTAAAACTACTAGAAAATAGACTCGCATTCAACCCCTAAGGTTGAACACTAAGGTCAAGAACACTGTGGCCTTGTTACATCACACTTCATACGCGAGCACAGCACCTCGTGTCTCCACAATGTATATTAAGTAACAACTAATTGACATTAATTTTATTATAGGCAGATGCGTTTTGAAAATGAACTTTCGCATATTTTAAGAAGAAAATATCTGGAGATTAAAGTTTTAAACGACATTTGTACTGAAAAGTAAGGAAATATGAACATATTAAATGTTTTAAACTTCAGTGGTAACTTATCGTCGGTTTTAAATTATTATCTAAAGTAGTAATATAGTATGTCAATTTATACTAAATCCTCAATATTAAATTATTAACTACACGAGAATGAATAAGTAGAACTTTTATAAGAGTTCTATTACAAGGTAGAAATAAAAAAAAAACAACAAAAAATTTAAATTTGCATCACATTAAAAGGCGATCTTGGTAAATACAGTTGTATGCAATGGGCCCACCCGCAGTAGAGCGGTAAAGTCTCTGAACACTGGTAGTTCGAATCCCGGCGAAAGGGCCTGCTGGAGTTGCATTTCGGTGGCTTTCGCCATGGATAAGGTCTATGCAAGCCAGATTCCTTAAGTCCTTCAGGAAGACATCCCTTTTCTTAAATATCCTTGGAGTGCTTTGCCATAATTAAATTAAATAAATAAAATATAAAAAGTATGCAACGAAATTCGATAAATTTCAGAAATACATCTTGACAAACATAAAGATTTCATGCTTATTTATTGGAAATTACTTACGCATTAACGTCTCTCAAAAGCTTTTCCATGAAGTGCGATTCAGATGTCATGACCTCCATCACCAGCATAAGGTCATAGCGACTAATAATCTGAAATAATATTTAATTGTAGTCCGTAGGAAGCATTACAGAAAAACTATCAATAAACTTAAATAATACATAATATACCAAGGACAATATTTTAAGTAGGTTGTAATAAATGCAAGACTCGATAATGATCTATAATAATTAGTTGTAGAGTTGGCATTGCGAATTCTAAATTATATATGTGGGTCATATTTTGTTTCCGGCAACTTTTATTTTCGAAAATTTTGTTGACATATTTTGGCAGACCGTGTTTCTTGTCTTAATCTTCTGTTTTAAAATAAAATGCATCGTGAAAACTATCGTCTGCATTTGGAAATTATTACTTGCTTAGCAAAATACATTAGCAGTTCCACATCTGATGTGAACGTGGTAAGACATTAATGATTAATGACGAGTTTTATTATAAATTTGAGAATTTATCATTGTAAAGAAGATAACAGTGTTCGAAGTACCTAAAAATTTCTTGATGTTCAACTATTTGTAATGCTATAAAACAATGGAAATTGCGAGGAACTGTTGAAAATGCACTAAAGTGCTGACCACATGTACAAGCTAATACAGAGGAATCCAAGATTTATATTATGCAAAATCAAATTATACCAAAAATTTATCAGTGTAAAACTTGCAGGGGATGTAAAATAAAGATTTGCAATGGAAGTGAACATTGAAACTGTTAAAAAAATGATCAAGACATATGGATATAATAGGCAGTCTGCAAGAAGAAAGTCCTTCGTCAAAAAGAAAGCAAGGAATATAATCTTGGCTGTCACAGAATCCATGGTAAGCAAATATTTATTATATTGAAACAATGTTATATTTGTAGATATGTCAAAATTTTGGAAGTGCTGTAGGGCGAAAGCCGAATGAAGAATTGAACAGGAAAATCTGTTATTGCTTTACTGCTAAGAACGATTGTGGAAATGTTTCGTTGGTTGGGAGTGATGGCAAAAATGTACAGTGGTGGCCAAAAATTGTGGACACTTTTGGATATTTTTATGTTTTGAACTTTATATGCTTATAGAAAATGTTACATTTCGCAAAATGCAAACTTGTGTGTATCATTTTAAAGAGAACTTATTACTGAATTCAATACAAAACACAAAATTCAATTATTTGCAATACAAAAAAAGTTATATGTACTTTAATATAAATAAAAAACACAGTTTTGAATTGGTTTGTAATGTCTAGCTTTCCTGGTCAATCACTATTCTTGTTCTGAGAACCAATCAAATGTTAGTAACTGCCAGTAGAAGCTGACACCATGTTTACACTTAAAACAAATCATTATTTTGCTTGGACAGGAGGACCTGTTTCTTATACACTGCAATTACAAGTAGGAATTTTTAAAAAAATTTTTATATTTAGTCAAGAAGCAATGACATCAAATAAAAGAGTAGATTGGACACCTAGAAAGAGATGTAATATTATTGTGTTACGAGAAAGTGGTCTTTCCTATGCTGAAATTGCAAGACAGGTGGGTGGTTCAGTGACTACATCTGGAGTCCGAAAGTTTTGTTTACGATATCAGGAGACAAATTCAATAAAAAAACAAAGAAGGAAATGGCCGAAAAAGATGCACCACATCTATTGATGACAGAAGAATTAAAAGACTATGTCTCCAAGATAGAAAAATGCCATCAGCGGCCATCAGATGTGATCTGAATGATGCTGGTGTTTCTGTCAGTTCAAGAACAATCAGGAGAAGATTAACAGATGTTGGACTTAACAGATGTTGGAGGTAGAATTCCACGAAAAAAGCCTTATCTTAATTTTCAGCAACGAAAGAAAAGACTACAGTGGGCAAAGGAACACATTAATTGGACAGATGATCAGTGATCTCAAGTTATATGGAGTGATGAAACTAAGATATCGTTATTCGGTAGTGATGGGCAAAAATATATAAGACGTAGAATAGGAGAAGAGAGCTACATTCAAGCAACTGTGAAGAACCCAGTCAGTGTTATGATTTGGTCATGCATGTCAGCAGATGGTATTGGTCGCCTTCATGTCATCGACATGATAAATTTACAATTATGTGTAGTCATTTCCTGTATCCAAAGGCGAGGTCATAGACCTCATAAGGCTTCCCATTTAAGATTATTGGTGGCTAAACGTTTTATTGAGCTAATTGCTGTGGATATAGTCGGGCCTCTTGTAGTGAATTTGGCACGCAAAAATACATTTTGATTATAACTTATTATTTGTTTCGATGGCCTCTGTTCCTTTACAGGACATTACAAAAGAGGCAATATAAAAACTTGAGCAATTCATTTCTTCTCATGGGATACATACTGTTACAATGTACTGTAATGGAAGTCCATAAACGACTGGGAATAACAAAGCATGGTACTATTAGTTATCATTATCATTATCATTATAAGGGCACAGCCCCGATCCTCCTAGCCGGCACAAGCCAGTCGTATGATAAAAAAATGGCCAGGGAAAAAAATACGCATAAGAAAAAACATATAAAGTCCAAAATCTGAGTCTCAGTGCCGAATTCCAATTATATTTTTATTCGTATTTATAATTTTCATTATTGTCTCTGCAAAATCTTTCAAATTTGACTAGTTCCTTTTAAAATCTTCCTTAAAATTCTTTCTATATTTCTCTCTTGCAATTCGGGTAACGTACATTCATCGACGAAGTGCCTGCCGTCCCCAAACTTATCACATATTAAGCATTTATCATTATTTTGTAGATGGAACCGATTAAACTAAGCCGGGAAACGCCCATTATTAGTCAGTACCTGATTTATATCAACATTATTTATAATATTCATCTTCTTATCCAGAAGTCAAACAACAAAAATCAGCGTTACATTTTCAAAATTTTCACAGGACTAGTTTCGCTGGTTTTACCGAACCACCATCCTCAGCTGCAAAACCGCAAATGCGGTTTGCAGCTCATTTGCGGTTTTGCAGCTGAGGATGGTGGTTCGGTAAAACCATCGAAAGTAGTCCTGTGAAAATTTTGAAAATATAACGCTGATTTTTGTTGTTTGAATCTGATTTAGTATTTATTCGGCGTGTTATTGTGTCTTAATCATTCATCTTCTTGTTTAACTTTATATTTTTCATGAACTCTTTTTTCTTATAAGACGACTACCAGCAAAAATTCCATTCTGTATAAATCCAGTTTTCTATTTCAGCAATGGTCTCTTTTTTTAATCTTGGATATCAAAATTATCGGTCCCATTCCCAAGTGCCGCCATTTTAGCAAGGGTGTCCGCCCTTTCATTTCCAACAATTCCATTGTGTTCTTTTACCCAGTGTAATTTAACAATATGTTTTCTTACAACCTTTTTAAACAAGTCTTTTATTTCATTAATCAGTCCGACTTTTATGATCTGGTTACCTGCAGACAAGTGCCTGAAGCGCAGATAAATATTTATAAAACATCGAACTGCTAATTTTTTATCAATTCGAAGCCTTTGTCAGTGCATATAATTCTGCTTGATAAACCAAATTCATGAGTTTAAGTTTTATTCTCCCATTGTTTATCTCCACTCCATGAAAATAAATTACCACAGCGCTACCCACTCCCCCATTAGTTCCAGAACCATCTGTAGAAACGTCTATTTCGCCACCAGAAGGAAACTCAAAATCATAAAATAATCCAAATCGTGTAATTGGGTGAATAATATCCTCATTCTCTTGTTGAAAGGCCTTACTTGTAAGTACTTTTTGTCCAATTTCAGTATCTGTAATAATTTTATTAGATAATAGAAAATTTTTGTAGTATAATTTGTATAAAATCTAGAGGGTGGAACAACCGCAAGGACGCAGGCGACTTCAGTCGAAACGGTTCTGAAGGCTCTTTAATGGCAAGCATCCAGCCTATCTGCAGGATGTCCAATTTCATTCTAATCCTAAGTAGCTCCTCTGCCCGGCAGTCCCAAGCTCCGACTCCATAATAAATTAATTATCAGTCCGAATTATTATTTATCACTATTATTAGTTATGCCCCGAATTATTAGTTATAATCAGTTTACCCCCGAACTATTCGTTATCTCCCCGAATATAATAGTATTGTGGAGAGGCTGAATGCCACTTCGATTAATTCATTCACTAGTCAGTCAGAGAAGATACGGACAGTTTGCTGTCGCCTTACTGGCATATAAGACGAGGAAATATAAGGATCTTCAGGAATGACCTGCATTTTTATTACATGTTAGAGACTCAAACATACCTATTGATTTATTATTGACAAGTAATTTTTGGAATTTAAGATGATAAGGCAGTTATTCTGAAGATTTAGTTTCGACTTTAGAAGAATTTATAGTTGATTAATAAGAATTTATCAATAGCTGCAGAAAAGCAAGAAGGTTATGTAGACAAGAATGCTCATGCTGTCTGCCTCTACACTCCAGTGGTATAGCTTAGATTAGCTAGGAGATTGCCCAGATATAATCAGGATCCTTACAGCATTGCTTATAGAGATAGGAAATTCACGATAACGAAATTATAGTAGAGGATGTTGTCTACCTCTACACTTCAGCGGTACAGTCTGGTATGACTAGGAGATTGTCCAAATTAAATCAAAGTCCTTGTAGGGTTATTGAGCAAATTGCTAAAGTTAACTTAAAAATCGTTTCCGGCTCAGACACAAACTATTCATGTGGATCGTTTAACAAATGCACAGCAGAGAATGAAATTCCTCACACTATGGAATTTTAATCCAAGTTCTTCTAGACTCAGAGACTGAAACTCATCACGCGCCTTATTACTTAAGGTCTAGCACAGCGATTCTCAACCTGTGGTACGCAAGAGAAAAATAGGCGGAACGAAAAGAAACAAAATATTTTTTGCAATTAAATTCAACATTAAATACTCAGCATCCTATTTAAGCTTTTTATATAACACTTGTAAATTTATGCGATCTAAACTTTGCTCAAGATCAATAACCACTCATAGACTTTAGCAAAATAATCCGTTTGTACTTTCACAAATATTCATTTAGCCATAGACATAACAAATATGTCATAAATGATGTTTTCAAAAGGAGTAATAAATATAGAAATGGATGTAGTATTTAAGAGGAAGACTGGAAAAGTTGTATTAGCAGTAGTGAATCGAATAGTGAACTGCGAACTCAGTGAGAGCATAAAAAAACCTTATATTTCATGTAGGTCAAACCTATGGTGCTAAGTTAAAATCTGAATCCTTTCAGATTTTTAACTTTAATTCTTTCTGCTTTATTTAATGATTTATTTATTTTATTCCTCTCTTTGAAACAGTGTCTTTCTGCTTGTATCTACTGTTATTATGTGATGTCCTTGATGTTACATTTGTGGGGTAAAAAACCAAAAGTAAATGTTTGGAAGAGCATTATGCTGTAAGTTTTTGTAGCTTATCATAAAACCTTACCTTCTCGATTGTTAACATAATATCTATATTCTGGAATTTTTTCTTCCCCAGAGTTTGTATGTTGTATGAACCAATGTGAAGAGGACGCTCCACAACTTTGCTTTCTTCGGTAGCAACTTTATTCGGTTGTTTCTTTTTCCTGATTGAATTTCCCATCTTCCGTGTTTCAGCATATTTTTGCCATTCGCTTTCAGAAAGAATTTGACAAATTAACAAGGTAAATAAAAGGGTCACAAAAGCGAAGTACATTATCTGAAAAGTTAAAAAAATTATTATTATTTTTTACATAGGGAAATCAAAGAAACTTATGTTCTTAGGCATAAAAGATAATTTAATATTAGTGTATTAAATTTTGCCATAGAGATCAAAATTTTTTTCTTTCTCAGAAGCCAAAATATGGGCAAATTTAATTTTTTATTTAAGTCTAACAATGGCATTAGAAAATACACTCAACTGCCATTATTTTTGCACTATTCACTACCTTTAATACTCTCTACTCTTTTTAAGTTTATTATGTTATTTTACACAGATAAGCACTCGAACGTGGAGCTTGCTTTATATCACAGCTTGTTAAATGTGATGCCTATTATGAAACACATATTAAAGGAAATTCATGAAATGTGTATTCAGAGATAAGTCTTGATCTAAAAATATGCTATATTTAATTCTCCTACTTTGCACAACAAGTTTCAAAGAACTTCGAAATCCTAATAGTACTAGTAAATAATTCGAATGAAGTTATTATAAGCATAATTAATATTTCTGTTAGTAAAAATTCATTGCTTTATTAGTAAAAGTCCCAATTGCTTATAACTATGGGAAATTTTGAATAAAAAAAGGAAAAAGGCAAATACGAAATGAAGCTTCAATTCTAAGAATTAGTTTAAATTTATATTCAAACAAGATTTCTTTCACTTTGTCTCTTTGCTTAAAAGTGAGTGAATTAATAAGATGTGAATTCCTTTTGTGATGTGGGTTTAAAATATCAGTTGTGAGTACGTAATATTATTATTTAATTTGAAATCACATATAATTGAAGCCACATATAAATGGAAAAATAATATTCCATGCAAAAATGAAATCTTATATAAATGAAAAAAATATTCGATGAGTAATGAAACTATGAATAAATGAGAAAATTAATGTTTCGTATTTGCTGTATCTCAGAACATTTCCATATTAGCGAAAATAAATGAAAACAATGTCTAACTTACATATTAAAGCCATTGGACATACTTAGCTATAATACTTTCTATACTTCACTAGGAATACAAATGAATGCAAGAAAAATATACATGTAAGAAATATGTAATGTATGAAAAACTTATAAGGTATTTCTCCCGCTTCCTACCAAGCCTTCGTGGTGTAGTGGTTCTGCACACTGAGCCGATGTTTCAGAGGCCTGCAGTTCGATTCCCGGCAAAGGCGGCTGCTAATTTTTCATGTCTTTGGCTTTTCCAATTAACCTAATGTCTCTACAAACTTTTATATTGAAAACTGGGCTGACTTTTACTAACAGTGGTGTTTGCATTTGTTAAATTTAATATTACTTTTTATATACATATTTCCTATTTTTAACGATGCCTGCCTCAAATTAGAAATTAACGTTTTATATTGTCATTATATAAAATTTATACTTAATTAAAATTAAAATTCAGAACACGATATGTAATTAATAAGCTACTACTCCTCTGAAAAATCAATAACTTTTTCACTCTTCAAAGTTTACCTATCTGAAGACATAATTATCTTTTGACAACGTTGATTTTATATCAGTTGCAATTTGTTAAGTCAGACAATTTTTAAATGACTCGGTAATAAAATACAAAATGTCTGGCTCATTGTTATTGACTTTTCCTGTAAATTCTAAAAACGAATTTTGCAAAACGTTTCTTTAAAACCATCGTATTAGAACAATAGGGTTGAAAAATTTCATATTTTATGTATTAAAATATTAAACATAAACTTCGATTACTGAGTTCTTCTAATTTCCTAGTATTCCATAAGATGCTACAGGTGTAAAATAAATAAGCGTTCAGATTATGAATACACTTTCCATTCAGTTCCTGGGCAAAACTTTTAAAAGTAGAGAAATTGCCGAAAGTCCGAAGTAATGAAGTCCCATTCTAGACTGTCAACCATGAGGGCCTCACTATATACTCATGCGGATGAGCAGTCCTTTATACGTGCAAGTTACGTGTGGTTTTTGACATCTACAGGCAATATAAAGCAAACTTCATTAGTCCATAACATATTAAAAAATCATATCGGTTCCTGTGAAATTTTTAGCAAAGCCCGTACAGGAAATATTTCTCTCTGTGGTAGAATCTGACGGCAAAAGCTGACGAAATGATTGCAGTTTATAGGATAAAGATTCTGGGTGTTACGAAAGGTAAGCCGTAAGAAAAATTGTCTTTTCGTTATTGAGATTGCCTTGCTGAATTGCCTTGTCGTTATTGAGATTCTCCTAGTAATAATATCTGAGTGGCTAACTCATCAATTTCACGTGCTACTGCACTGGTATTGGCTTTCTATAAAGATGATCTATCTTTTCCGCCAATGATTTTTTAAGAGACTAGTTTCTTCAAATCATCTGAATATGCCACTGGCCAAGGCTCTGAACACTGATTTCATCGTGCTTGAAACCCCAAAGAATTCTCTCACTACATGGGCGTTTTCGTTGTTTTCCCCATTTGTAACAGGAATAAGAATGAACATTAAATACTTAGAAGTTCTCTAAGAAGGCATCGTTGTCTTTAGGCAGATAGTCGTAGCCATGTGTTGCCAAAACTTATTAAGACGAACTTCTAAGATTCGCAAACCCCCATATGGGATGGATCTTTCTCCGGGAGACAAAAGAAAAAGTTATAAATTGTCTATATGATAAATCTTTTTAGATATAATTCCAGGTCACCGAACAAAGCTATAAAGCTAGCTAGATATTTATGTTGATGAAATTACTTTATTTTGGGGGTGTGTGTTTTAAAAAAATCATTCTTAAAGGTATAAGGTATTTCTCCCGCTTTCCTAGCGTGCGTTCGTGGTGTAGTGGTTCTGCACGCTGGGACGGTATTCCAGAGGTCCGTGGTTCGATTACCGGCGAAGGCGGTTGCTAATTTTTTCAACTTGCCTACTTCCAAAAATCTTAATGTCTCTACAAAGAAAAAGCGATTTTTCCTTGTTATAAAGGATTAAACGATTTAATACAATTTGTAGTGCCTGGTCCTCCGAAAGTGTAACCCTGAAAATAGGTAGCGCCCTCTAGGCGGAAAAAAGGGTAAGTGAGAGATTGGCTTTCGGTGGAGGAGGCCGAATGCTCAGTATGTTCAGTGTGGTAATCTTATAAATTTAAGCAATTCTATTATCTGGATAAACTCCGATTTACCTTACTAATTTATTCACACACTCAACGTAAACTATATACACTTTGTACAAATCGAAATATATCAGATAATAGAATTGTTAGATTTATAAGATTACCATACTGAGCATTCGGCCCTCCTCCACATGCGACATGCGACGGGGGACGTGGGCACCACCCCTTTACCGTCGGTTAATTGGTGTAGCGCCACGTCCACCAATATCTAGAGTTGAACCTTGAGTCTTTCAAAAGAGCAATTACATGGCCATACAAGGGCTGTTAATATTTAGTATTACATTCTTGTTTGCTGGTTAACATATTCTATGGATAACGTGATTTACAGAGTTACATACTGACTTTGTCTCTCATTTCCGGCATACAATGCATTGCATTAACCTGAATTACATTAATCTTACATTGCGTTGGATTACTTTTGTGTACAGTTACAGTTTTTAGCTGTACATTTAAATAAAATATACCTACATTACTTGTAGATTGCATATAAATACAGTTTGCATGTACAGTTACATATGCCATATTACATGTGCCTTGCGTTACATTATTTTATATACATACATAGTCAGGCACGCTGCTTCACATATTACTTAATTTTAACTACACTGCTTAAACTTAGGTTACATACACTTGCAGTTGCATATAGATACATGCAGATACATTCTGATTAATTTTTAGATACAAATTTACAAACATAATAGTCTTACATGTTACTTACATTACATGTTATTTGGGTACTTATTGCATAATTTTCCAGTACATGAAATAGACATTCCAATACATATTGTTTTGCGTTAGACATCCTATATCCCTTATTCATAATACAAAACATATATGTTACCCATGCATTTTATTAGACATTTCTGCATTATATTGCATTACTTTAAATTGCATAACTTATTAACATAGCTTACTGATACACAAAAATATTACATATATTACACTCCTTACATTACTTTGCTTACAGATATATTGCACTTTCATACATTCGTTTGCCTACATTATATATCGGTTCATATATATGGTCTTACGGTAAATTTGCCGAAATTATTTACACAGTACATGCACATTGTAAATGCAACGAACTTCCAGGTATGAATACAGGCAGTCTTTATCTGTGAGTTTTCTAGTCTACATTATAGTTCTTACATTCACTTGAATGACAGTTTTCCACATTGCAATCATGTCCTTTTTAAAATGCTTAAGTGTTTTACATGCTGGGTTGTTCTATGGTGACACAAGTCTGTATCTAAGTCGGACAGTCTGTCCATCAACTGCACCAGCTTTTAATAAAGTGCCGCTGTTTTATCATATATTTACAGAAAACGGCTGGCGATTTGTTTCAGGGAGATTGATATGCAGTCCTTCTGTTAATGGGCATGACGTTAGATAGTGCTCTGGTGAGCCTGAGTCGCCGCGTGCACATTGACTGTGTGACTTATGCCACGCTTGAAGAAATATTCCGGGTAGGGCCCATGCCCGGAAATGAACCTACCAACTGTGCGTTCGCTACATTTCGGCTAGTGTCCACATAGCCGATGAAGTAGTGGGTCCTTCCCTGTGGTGCTTTGGTCCCATTCGTCTGCCACATGCCAGTAGGCCCTTAGGCGTAGTGTCTTCTTTAAATACGAATGCGGCCATGGGATGATAATTGGTGCATCGGGCGGGTCAGTTGTTGCCTCTTTGGCGAGTTGGTCGGCAAGTTCATTGCCATAGCCTCCTCCACAGAAATTGCCATGGCCAGAGATTGCCATGGCCTCCTCCACAGAAAGCCAGTCTCTTACTTACCCTTTTTTCCGCTTAGTGGGCACTACCTATTTTCACTTTCGGAGGACCAGGCACTACACAATTGAAATGATGAAAAATGGTGAAAGAG